CACACACACACACACACACACACACACACACACACACACACACACACATTCACGCACGCACGCACGCTCGCACAAACATGCTATATAGATGTTTTAGGAAACCACTTCTATGCAATTGTTATCTGTTTACAATATTTTACGCCCCTGCAATGTCTGCGTCTCAGTGGCTACAAAAATCAATGGTACAACTTACTTGAAGAGTTGCCTGTAGTAGTGGAACTGTGGCTGGTGGTGGACATGGTGCCAGTAGGCATCCAACGCGAGGCTTTGCACGCGCTGCAAGTCCGCGAGCCCGCGCCTTGCCCTCGCTCAGTCACGTCTGGCGCCGGTGCAGGCATCTTTTTGCCCTGGCGTAAATTAACAACATGCAATAACAATGAATTAGCACTGCCATAGGTGTACTTAACCTGGCTTTAAAAAGTAAGTGTATTTTGATTTTGTTCCACTATCTTTTGTTATTTTATTTAGAACTAAGTATTTCAAAACAATATTCTATTCACTCCGACATTTACCTATTTACTTTCCCGGTTAATTATTTTATTTATTTACAACATATATCGCTTACAATAAGTAAAAATAAACGGTGTCGCATAATTACACATTTTTCTGTACATGTATCTGTTAATGTAATGATTTAATGTTTTAGTACTATGTAGGAGCCTGTATGTTTTTCACAAATATTAGTTTTTTTTTCGTTACCTAATCCTTAAAGCGCGACGCGCAGGGCTACAACGTGGTGCGGCGTAGTAATTTAACGTAACGGCAGTAACGTTGTGTGAGTAAGTATACAATTTGTTTTATTTCTTGACTTCCATTTAATTTAAATAGAAATATTTACTATAAGTGCAGGATGGCTGTATCTCACGACCACGGTGATCTAACGGTTTTCACTGTGAGCAAGAAGGTCTCCGGTTAGATTCCCGTAGGACAAATTTGTGAAATGAACTTTTCTAAACTGGTTGTGATCTCTGTGTTCTGTATAGTGCCCCAGAGTGAAATACGTTGCTCTGGTACTCATAGTAGAATTTCATAGTTTGGCTCCACGTAATTGGTGTAGTTGTTCAGTGATATTATTATTATTATTATATAACTGCTCGCTCGGAAAATTGTAGTATGAGATTTGCCTTACTTCATCGACTGCGATATTATCTAAAGTGGAGAACTGAATTTAATGCGGAATCATTATTAGTCACAAGGTCATCATTATTGTTGAGTATTCACATTTTGACCATGTAGTGAGTTCTTACATATTTTTTATCCTCTGAATAAGTAATACGATAAATAATAACATTATTTATATAATATATTATTTATATATTATATATTATTATATAATCCTTATGGAACAAATTTACTATATTGCTACTTTGGATAGAAGTTTCACAAACTCGTTAAAAGACTTACTTGTGTGTCATAAAAAATGGAAGGTATCCTGTTGTTGCGTGAGTCACATGTACAGTGAGCATACGTGGAGCGCGGGGTGCCCATCATCATTACGTCAGCATCCCCGAACGTTTGTGCCTCGTCATCCACTAAATCCGTATGAGTACTTCGCGACTCTAGAGTAGTGTCGTCCCTCGCCCACGTTTCCGATATTCTATTATCCCTTAACTGCTCGCTCGGAAAATCGTTGTATGACATTTGCCTTCTTATGCTTCTACATCGACTGCGATTATCTAAAGTGGAGAATTTCATCGAATCTAATGTGGAATTCCTAGTCACTAGGTCGTCGTTATTGTCGAAGCTTCTCATTTTTATCACTTTATGAGTTAATCTTCGATTTGTATCGACGTTGCAGTCTCTTAGCCTGTCAAAGCCCTGGTCCACATTACCAGAAAAATTTGTGTACGTTGTTTTTGAATCGTCTTTCGGCTGATAGTTCGACGTGTGAATGCAGCTTTGACTGTTAACCCTGTGCTGAGATTTGTCCATAAGCGACAACATCGACAGTTTTTTAAGTGAGTTCGTGGAACCAGACGTTATCTCGGCTAGTTGGACCGCGTTTTGATGTTTCTTCGAAACCGCTTCGCCGCCCATATTTTTTAAATTAGATAATTTCCGTTTTATTTTCTGCATGAGCGTGTTTGCGGGATCGTATGAAATTAACTGCTTTGAGATGTAGTTTGATACACCTATGGTTTTGCTTTTGTTGTGCTTCCTATCGAGACTACGGTGTGATCCAGCACTAAGGTGACTTCTTCCGGCGTCTCTTTTAATCCTTTCTAAATCGTAAATATTTAGAGTGTGGCCGCGTGGATCTCCGATCTCACGATGCCAATTTAGGTAGTTGTTTCGTTGAATATTGCAGTTACAAACTAAATCGAATTCTTGTTCTGATATGTGTTTATCGATGCAGTGGCGCTGAGCGGCAAGCGCGAGGCAGGTCTCGCAATCGACGCCTAGTAAAAGCTCAAGACTGGTATTGCGGATAAATCCGTCACTAAAAGTTCGTGAGCGAAAATGAGTCGGTGGTTGCGCATCCCGATTATCCCAATCGTGAGTTGAGCTAGTGGCCTCGGCGCAGGCGGCGTTGGGCCCGAATCCGGTACACCCAGCCTCGCCGTCCACCATAGTGGAGGCGTCGCGATTCACTTGAATGACTCGCGGTTGTCGGAATACGCGGCTGTCGCTGCGCACTGAACTCCGCGACGGAGACGGCGAGGGCCGTTTCAAAGTGTCCACTTGAATCATGTTTGATTTTTAAGTGCTTTCGTTTATCGGAGACCCATTTTTCCTAAAACAAAGAGAAAATGTTACATTAAATTTGAAATTAAATGAGTTTATTTTCACATATTTAAATAAAAGTTTATAAACTAGAATGTTCAGTATATCCCCGCTCCTCGGCATGCAATGTCGGCAGCAAATAAATGTTCAAATTTACGTTACTGAAATTTCGATTCTTACATACACATCAGTACAATATTATAAACTGCTTAATGTTCGTAAAATTTTACATAAATTAGTAGCAGTAGTGCTCCTTGTGAAAGAATTCGCCCAGGGAGGTACTGCTACCTTACCTGTTTCTGGTGAGCATTACTGCGATCTGGTTTTGAAGGGCAAGGGTGCTGGCGAAATCACAGGCACGTGGGACTTATCAAGCTATGTGTCAGGTTGACGGTGCAGAGTGCGCAGTGGCAGATTTAAAGCCTTGAGTGGCGCTGCAACTGCTATGGACAGGCGTGTCGCTTACTACCTGGCGCGAATTGTTCGTCGCGTCAATTAGTATCATAAAAAAAATTAAAAAACTTAAATACTAGAGACACAAGTTTTCATGATTCTAGTCGTCTTTCTAGACGTAATCCTGTCAGACGAACAAGTTGTGGGCCTGGTGAGGGATTTGTCGACAATACTTTTATATTATGTACCTAGTCAATGTTTTAACACCTACAATGTAATAATTTCTTTAAGACTATGATAGAAATAGATATAAGAAATAGATGTTTCTGCGTTTTATTGTAATTGCTCTCATTGTATCTCATTGTAATGATTACAATGAGGTGGGTACACAAAGTTACTTCCCGGGATATCCCGGAATTAACTAATACCATAGTATTTTTTATTTATAAGTGCTTTACATGTCTTGTCTTTACAAAAATATACTTAAAAATATGCTTATACATTATCAAACATATACACCTTGACATATAGTAAAGTTTTAGACAATCCACTTAACACACAAAAATATGTATAATTACACTTACATAAATATTTAATATGGCTATCATAACGATACTATAAAAAAAGTTGTGTTATCTGCTTTACGAACGCTTCATTTATTAAGCCTGTTTTAAAATATCGCATGAAATAAAATAGACGTTTAAAGCTCGCAATATTAATTCATCGCTGGCAAAAACTCTGTTGAATTTCCAATTTGTATTAAACGATATGGCATAATAATAAAAAATAATAAATTAGAGTGGTTAAATGAAAGGGACGTAACTTAACCACTACGATTTCTAGGGTCTCTCCAGCGCGGTCCGTGCGGAGAATTGTTATTGGATTTACAAAGGGAGAAATGAGCCAGATATTCCGATCACTGAATTTTTACCGCTTCTACTTTCGGCCAATTGAGTTGATGTTTTACCTATATTTACATATAAATCTTGTCCATATATTTTCGAAAATATGTTGGTTATGATGCCGGGTCGAAACGGTTTGGGAATCTTGATAAGGGCAAGGTTTCTAAATTATGTAGACCTATGTTATGCACATGTGTATCTTATACATAAAATTGTATTTTTGAACGCACCATACTTTGCTGTCATAGCTTTCTGGTCGGTAGCGTTAAGAAAATGCTGATAACAGGTAACGTTATCTGTAACTGAGAAGAATGTTGCAAACGGTGTCGCATTGAAAGGTTTTCAATTGAAAGTGTAAGATTGATGTCATAGAAGAATATCTCGGTGCGATAGGACAAGATGTACGACGAACCGCTCGTGCCGCCCGTTAAACTGATTATGGGGAAATTCACTCAAACGCTCTACTAATGTTTTCAGATTTATTTAACTTCTAGCCGCTTGTACCGCACAGCTGACTTTAAAACAAATAAAAGTACATTTTAAGACAAAGTGGTGGGATTATTTTTGATGATAAAAATAGGGCGTACTTTGTAATATTCCTACTTTATCATTTTATATAAACAGTTATAAAAAGTGTAACCAATTAGAAGTAAGGAGAAACGATTACAGAATATACGTATATTAAAATAACGTACAGAACATTTCACGTAAGAATAAAAGTTTTGTTATCACTAAATAATTAAATACATTTCTGAATTCATCAGTTTCTGCATCAGTTTTGTGTATTTAAAGAACAAAGAACTAAAATTTTATTTGCGTATTGTAAATGTTGCGCAGTCGATTGCCACACGCTTAACATACTTACATAAGAAGTTATGAGCGTTCTGACAGTTAGGCGTTTTCATTAACACCCTTAGCCAGCGGCAGAATTCGAGTTCAAGTCGTTCATCGCGACATGAACTTCAATATTTGACATTTTTGTGGTAATTGAGTAAAATGTACGATGTTTCACAGAATATCCACTAACCGAAACATGTTTATCTTCTTACACGAACAAGTTGTTGATAGAATAAGATCTAAAATTCCTGCATATAAATAGTTTATGTTAAATCGAAAAAAGCTTGCCCTGAAAAAAATTGTCATTTACGATAGTTACGGACGACACGTTCCCCGTAACTACTTCATAGTTACAATGTCGTAAAAAACGCGTAACATGTTTTAAAGCAGTAGGTACCACGAAAATTGTCACGTGTGCGTTGATTTGTTTTTCCTTACGTAATTTAAACAACGATGGTAATTTTGTCTGTAAAATTGTATTTTTTTTCGACAATATGTAATTAGCATAAAAAATATAGCGAATTGAAGCCGTTGTGTTGACGTCTTTAAATCAATTGTTATACAGCTTGAGATCGGTAATGTTTTAAAAGATTGTTAAAGTTGAAGGTCGATTACCTAACTGGTATTATACGTGAGGGAAATCATGGCGATATATAATGAAAGTGGCACTAAAATGGATTTCAATTTTATAAAATCTCTCCGGGTTTCAAATTGACTATAAAAATATAAAAGCCGTATTTTTTTCATTTTCTGTGAACCGTACAGTAAAATGAAAATTAATATTAAAATTACCGGTGCTTTTAACGGTCATTTGAGTCTATATCGCGAATTATGCCCGTTGAAGACTATAGATACCAATATGAACATAACAAATGAAATATTACGTTATAAATGTTCCATATAAAAGCACGAAAATTAATAAACATCATTCCATATACTAGGCTAAAAAATTAACATCAACAAGCTAATTATCTATAATTAAGTCAACTTCGGTGCGTCAAGATGGTTACAGTTAATAGGTAAACGTCATTGATCGTATCTCTACACGAGGAAGGAAGATGGATAGGAATTCTTGCGTGATTTTGGCTGAATGTTTTCCTAACTAGCGTTCCATGAATAATTTGATATGTTTACGCGATCGTAAGGAGGGCGTGTAGCGCACAAACAGTGTACTCACGCCGCCGACGACGACTTGAATGAAAGATCTCGAGGCGTACAAAATCACCAGACGGGAGTCGGGAGTAAGCCATTTCTGTTTTATGTTTGTTTTACAGCTCTCGGATGAAATATAGCTTTTGTGTTGAATGTACATTACAGCATTAATTATCATCAGATTATACACGTATACGGTGCAAGGCAAGCTTTTTCTTGTGTACTTAGCAGCGTACCTATCAAGTGCCGGAAGATAAAAAATATTTTAATAAAGCTACGAAACCGTCCTTTATACGAACTTTAGGGTCCTTTGTAAAAACGGGTCGACAGCACGAAGAGGAGGTTCAATAGCTGGGATAAATTAGTTATTGGGCGTCCTTAATAATTTTAGTAACGTGCTTTATGTAGAGCCTCCGTTCGTACACTTGTGATATTACTGGAACTTGTGATAATCATTTCGAAGCATTCCGACGAAGGTTTTTGCTAGTCACCGGAGGCTACTACCTACATACCAACTCAGCAAAATTAATAATGTATACTTAGTGCAGGGTTTAAAAACACCAGACATGGCTGTGAGAAGTGAAAGTGCCCACTTGTCGAGACGAATAATTTCGTTTTCATTTAAGCTTGAAAAAGGGTAAACCATTTTGCTTTGCATACAAATTTCGCCGGTCCACTATGTTTGGGACGCTGAGGCAGCTGGTGTTACAATTTTCCTACATTCTCTATTACAACAGCGTAAAATTATATTGTCCTGCTTCGTTTAAAAAAGATGATCCAATAGGTATGTTCTGAACGTAATTGTGCTACGTTGAGTAGTTACCTACGTATGAAACGGTTTCTTTGAGTTTACGATTGAAATTAATATCCTCTGCTAGTGTATTTCAACCGGCAGCGATTTGCTCTCCTTTGTGCATGTTTCGAAAGCAACTTCAGGATAGTTAATAAGATATCGATAGTGAACGGCACGTTGCTTTGTGCAGTGACCACTGCAGAAATCGCATGTATAGCCTATATTTCGAAGTTTATTGTACTTACGCACATCAATAAATTTTAGAGATATTCAACATATGGTTAATTATTTTTGTAAAACCTATTATTTAATTTCTGAAACCTAGGTATCGAAAGTATCGTAACTTTATGATCTAGATTAATATTACAATAAATAGATATTATATCGATTGATATTTCGTTTTTTTTAGACAACTAAGTATTGAAAATTTGAAATATCACTAATTGTGCAACATGAATAAATTTGGAACATAAAAGTTACCATTTTAAAATAATTAATGTTGCCTCGGATCCACATTTGGCTATTCGTACTGAAAACTAAGATGCCTACATCGTTTTATGTAATGCGGTGTCATGTTTTTTAAATGCAAACAAAGCATTCAATGGGCTACAAGTAGGATGACTCTAATGGCCATTCTAGAACCCTATAACGAAGATATATAATAACGAAGGGGCATTCATGAACTGAAACTTCTGTCACATTTAGACTGCGGAATGATCACTTGGTACGAATTGGCCTCTTGGTGATGACTTTCTCTGCCTGGGACCCCTCAAACTAGTTTTCTTTTCCAATTCGTGTAAAATCCCAGCCGAGATTTATCGGTAAACAGCACCATTGACTACAGCTTATTCCATATAAATATTCTTGATTTGCTCCATAGGCTTGGAAGACAAAGCTGTCTACGAAAACGACGATCAATTTCTTATAACCATT